AAATGCTGATCTGGACACTGACGAAAAATAATTTATTTTAAAAGTAAATACAGTATGATATTATATCAATAAAGGTTTCCAAATCCTATATTTTCATGCAGACCTCACCTAAATTATTTGTGTACAATTCTGGGCACCGCACTTAAAATTTAGACACAGTGCAAAAAGTTCAGAGAAGGTCAAGACTCATAAAGACAGTTTGAAGAAAATGGAAATGTTTAGCCTTGAAAAAATGGGGGTGGGGAGAATATGATAATATCCTTCAAGTTATGAAGGATGTAACAGAAAAGCTGTCTATCGTAGAGCACAAAAAGGAAGAATGGATTTAATTGAATGCTGGATCAGAAAGTTCCTAATAATGAGGGGATTTGATAGTGGAAACCTTTATCTGGGTAGAGATTGAGCTTGTGTTTCCTAGATGTATTCAAGCAAAAGTTTGACATCCATCTTCCAATGATGCTTTCATTTAGAATCCTGATGAAGTTCTAGATTCAGTTTGATGCTCCGAATGGACCCCACCCATTATGTAATTCTTAAAATGGAAGCCTAAATCAGAAAGTAAATAAAAATCTTGTCCTTAAATATTGTTTAGCTTAATCTATGTTTAAATAATCTATCCAGGCAGTATTCGAAATATTGTGCACTCTAAGGTTAATAAAAATCCAATATTCAATATGCATTGTATCCCATTTTCCTATTTCATTTATTATCTAGGAGAGGGATAATGACTAAACAGAAGCCAGAATTCATCAAATGTAAATTCTATTAAATTGTTCTAAGTTAAAGTAGACTTTTCCTACCAATGTTATTTTTCCTACTTTTAGAATATAGGAAATATTGCAAGGAGTTTAATTAATAGCACAAGAGTTTTGTTTCTTTTTAACTTTGTAACATTTTAAAACATCTTGTATTCTTTGTTTAGTAGCATCCAAAAATATAAATAATGTAATATGTACAATGCAGTATAATATACCATTATAATATGGGTAAAGTTAAGTAAACATATGCATCACTTTATATTAGCATATGCTGAAGATGAATCCTTGGCAAAAGCAATCTGAATCTAAATGTCATTTAGGCTGAGAAAGAGAAAAGGTCTGAAATGGAGCTTCCCATTCAAACCTTCAGTAAAATGGCTGTTGCTCAAACATGTTGACAGCTATTTTGTTCTAGTTGACGTAATTGGGGTAAAACAGCAGGAATTGTATGATTGTCAAAAATTAACTTCATAACAAGGATGCAAAGTTTACTGTCTTAAAAATACCATATTTCTCTATTCACATTCTGTATCAGTTAAGTAACCCAATTCTTAAAATATTGACTATATTCTCAAGCACAAATACATTTTTAGGGATCTTTATGTTCATGAAGAATAAAACTTGAAATTGTAAGTTAAATTACATCTTAACATCCGCCACATAAATCATGCTTGTTTTATTATTAACATTGTATTAATGTATGAAAAACATTTTCTGATACTAGAAAGGCCCAACTCTGATTATTAAAATTAGTATTTAATAGTAGCAAAAAATGAATCCAAATGTTTACTACCATTTAGCTGCTTAAATCTTACATGTAACCAAGAGTTTTAAATTAACTAATTAATCTTCCAGGTTCACTTCCTTTTCAAAATCTTTTATTGAAAGAAACAAAGGTTGGCTTAAAAATGTCATTTTTCTTTCAAAATTGGAGTTAATATTCTTCATGGTGTGATTATTTTGCTGAGTGGTAATGAACTTCTAATAATTACACTATTGCCTAAAAGAGGTAGTAATATTTAAGGAAGATAAGGTGGCTGATCTTTTTCAGTGTTATTAAGCACATTATTTTTTTATAAGCTTTGGAACCATAGTCATAGGCCCAAATTTAAGGGCATAGTATAATGAAAAAAAAAAGTTATTCTGTAAGGTGACGCTTTCAGCTTTTAGCTGATACTGATATGGAACTTTAGGGTGGCATTAAACAATCTGTTTAACAGATAAACAAGTTTCTTTCCATAGAAGTCATTCTAAAAGCTGCAAAGAGCTGGCATTTCTTTGATAAGTGCTTTGCAAAAATGAGATTTCTCAAAATTGAAACCCCCATTTTGCTGATAAAGAGTAATGTGAACAACAGGGTAAAGTTATGGGTTTCCTCTAAAGCAGGGCAGGAGAAATCTCTTCCTATCATTCACACGGAACCCGATACTGAGAAAAGTATCTGACCTGAGTTTTAGTTTAATAGGATTCACAAATGCTCTCTTCTTTGTTAATTCCCCATAAAATACTGGCTTTGATAGGGCCACAGAAAAAGTAAGTTAAGAATTAACTATAAAATGTATGTAAAATAAAATACCAATACCTTCCTTGCCCTTCGCCTTTTTCCTCCGTGTGCTAGGACCTCTTAAGACTGAGGCGAAGGCCGCTTTGGGACAGTTGCCTTTGGCGATTCTAGAAGGAAAAGGAGCCTTTTCAGCAGCAGCTTCCCAGACACGCGCAAACGCACACCGCCTTCCCCCCCCCCCGTCCCCGGCATCTTCCTCGCCGAAGGAAAACTGCAGAGGGACGGCGTTTTTTGCCTCGGCGTTTCCGGCCACTTGGGCTGGGATTTCAGCGTCGGAGAGAACCCGCAGGTCTCGCCTATCCAGTGCGGCAGGTTGCACCGGCTGCGAGAGACCTCCTCGGGGCGCGGTGGGCGAGGACAGAAGAAGGAGATGCGGGGCTCATCCGAGGTCGCTCCCGGGCTCCTGCCTCGCCTTGCCTGCTCGGGAGAAGGGGCTGCGAGAGAAGTTCACGCCAACCCCCCACCCCCCGGCTGACCAGAAGGACAAAAACAAAGGGCGCCGAAGCCCGCGGAAGAAGAAGCCAAATCAATACTGTACAATCAGACTGTTAGGAAGGCGCGGAAATTTAAAAATGTTTGGACAGGAAGAGAAAGGGAAAAGAAACCGTAAAAGGGGAGGGACACAGATGGGGAGAGAAGGGAAGCACGGGCGGGGGGGTGGCGAAGTAACGGTTCTGAAGCTGCCTCTCCCCTCCCACTCGCGGCTTGGCTCTTAGGCGCGGACCCCGCATGGCCCCAGCCTTGGCTTTGGGCACCGCGGCGGGCTGGAACCTCGGACGGTTCCCAGCAGGAGAGGCACGAAGCGCCGCGAAGGAAAAGACGCGGCGCGGAAGCCAGGAACAGCTCCGACATTTTGAGCACCTCGCATCTGGGCCACGCTTCTTGCTCCTGGTCCTTGGAAGAAATGAAGGGCGGGGGAGGACGACTCCTTCTTCGCCCCCCCAGTTTTGTCCTGGGTCTGGCGAGATAAAAGATTCTAGCCGGCTCAGGATTCACATGGATTCCCAGGGCAGAAAGCCAAATACAGGTTTCGGCTCCACGGGTTGTGGTGCTTACTCTGGTGTGCCCGCAGGTACCTTACCTGCGGCGCAGGGCACCTGGCTGAGCTTGGTGCGGCAGCCAAATTACGCCTCCAGCTTCCTCGGAGGGAACGGCCCGGATCTAGCAGACACGAGTTAGGTGCTCTGGGTCGCTTTCAAACTAACTTCATACTTCAGCAGCGAGCGCGCCATTGGTAAAACCCATTCGGAACATGGGCGTGAAAGATCAAGAACGCTGAGGACTCCTCTACCTCCCTACTTCTCTTCCTCCCCTCCCTTCTAATATACCTTCTTCCACTTGAGTGATTTACAGTGGCACTCACTTCTGACAAGTAAGCTGCTTCAGCTCTCCCGATGTTTATTTGGGAATAACGAGTCTCACTGAGATAGTCCTAGGATCCAAGTCTCCAAGGCCAGGTTTCCAGTAGTCAAAGAAAGCGCCCTGAAAGCCAATGGCAACTCCGTTCCTGGTCAACAAGACAGCAGAGCAGAGCTTGCGGGAAACTGGTTATCCTGAGTCCCGTCCCCTTTTCTGTTCCCTGATCATGGGCAGAGAGTGCTACCCGTCACACTCTGTGCGGAGCCTTCTTCTGGATAAATGGAGTCTAGTATGGCTCACCTGCTCCACAGAAGACAATTTGTCTGAAGATCTTCTCACTACAAATGCGACGTCGGTTTATTGAGCCCGAATTTTTAAGTCGTTGAAGGCTTTGGAATTTCCACCCATATTCAGTCTCGACCTGCTTCAAAGGTGGGACTAGGTGAGGGGAATCCAAATATTAGTGCTCTGAGATTATTATTTTTTAAAAGTATAACTCTTTGGTTTGGACTGGGCGGAAGCTCTAGCGAAGCAGACTATGTCAAATTGGACGCTAATCTCAAACGTTCTTAACTATTACCAAGTCCGATAATGGTGTAACTGTCCATCTCTAAGATCGTATATTGCTCTTTAGCTATGTTGGTGCCAAATGAAAGATAGCTAAAGAGCATGGCTAAATATATGGCTTTTTGAGAAAACTTCTGATGTGATTGGTTTCCCACTTTCTGCATTATATTTAGGAGAAATTGAATTAATGCTATTTGCTGTTAGATTGATAACATTAAGAGCTCACATTAACCACATTAATTATTAAAAGCTTTTGAAAAAGAGAAAGAGCAGTCCTGACACCTCTTTTGCCTGACACTGGGGATTTCATGCAAGTCATTTCTGAAACCAGTTTCTTTTGTTGACTAACTTTTTGAGCCCATTATGACACTCCATCTGCTAGAAGCCTGCCTATATATTTACTAGCTTTTCAAATATTAAAGTTTTTTAAAAAATTAAACCCCTCATAAGGATGGGAGGGGCAGGTTTACCAGAAAGAAAATGTGAGGTTTTGTTTTGTTTTACAGACAGCTAATTCCTTTAGATGATGTCAGTTTGTTTTTTAATGTCTGGAAAAGGATATGATTGGTTTAGTTTTTAACTGGCCCTTCTGAAATCTCTGTTCAAGAAAGGAAAAGTTTCTACAATGCAGGAGAAATGCAGGGGGATGAAGTTGCTGATACAATTTATTAATCTTTTTTTTTTTAAATGAGCCAAATTGAAATTGACCAATATAGCTGGATGTCACCCCTCTTGAAAGTAACAATCTAAGACCTGGGTCACATAAAACATCACAGTTTCTCAGTTTTTTATCTTCACAGCAAGTTGAATCATTATGACACAGAAAATTCTTCGTGGAGGCGAATAGCAATGAATTCTCTCCACTGCAACAAGCTGAAGTTTTTAATCAGAAAACTATCAGGATGAGAGTGAAATTATTCTAAATAATTGATAAAAGTTATAGGTTTTGTAATTTATTCCCATGCAAAATACATGTTTAATAGCTTTTCTACTCAGCAATCCTAAAACTCCAAGTAACAATGCAATCTTAGCCACATCTGCTCAGAACTAAGCTCCACTCACTGAGTTCAGTGCAGTTCAATCCCACATACATAGAAAACTGCAACTAAAACAATCCAACTTCACATTTTTGCTTCTGAGTGCTTACACTACAGTTATATAGAAATGACTCTGTAAAAGAGGCTTTCATCTAAAATCCCAAGTCTTAACCACAAAAATATATGCTTATTCTGGATTTATTCTACTGGAACAAATGTGAGTAAATAGTACTACTCTGGCAGTTTAATCTGAGAAAAATCTAGAACATTCCCAAAATTTGATCAAGTCATTAAATGTGATCTAATCTTATAAATTACTTTTTTTAAATTTTAAACTTGTGTTTGTGCAAATAGCCAAGATATCATATTCCCACACTGTGTGACTTTGGACTTGATAAATTCCCTTTTTACTCTTTTTATTATTATACATTATATTGAAGCTTCACTATTCAAACTACCCCAAATTGAGACTTTGTCTCTGGTCAGATACATGTGGTGAATTAACCGAACCTTTGGTCCTAAACATGTTTAACTAGAAGAAAGCTAGATTTCAGCAGAACTTCCTTCAGAAAAAGAGATGTTTAGGCGATAAGGCATGACAATAAAAATAGAAGAAAAATAACAATGAAAGCACTTTTAATGAAAGCACTTTCCCATAGACCTTTTGTTAGCTTATCCATCTCATCAAACATTTGTGATTCAATTGTCCAAAAGTCTCTCTTTTCCTACCACTTCCCCTTCTGGCACAAAAGGTCTTTCACATATACACTCCTTCATGCACTGTTTCATATTATGTTAACCTCTGTTAGGCTAGATAATGTTCAGGGATGGGAAATCACAGTAAGCTTTTATAGATCTTTTACAAGTTACCAGAAAGCACAAAAACACACCTTCAGACATCTCCATGTCTGCATTAAAAAAAAAAAAAAAAGACCGACCCCATACTTTGATTAAGATGAAGAGAGAGAGAGAGGAAAGGAAAGGCGACAGGTGTAGAAGCAGGCACTTTGGAGTCCAGGGCAAGGGGTGGGCTTCAGTCCCCGCTGAGGGCGCCCTCCCTCCGCCTGCTGTTCTCCAGCAGTTTGGCGACGGCCTGCCTCTTGTAAAGCTTGGCCAGGTCGTAGGCGGTGGCTCCCTTCTTGTTGCGATGCTCCACCCGGCTGGCCGTGCGCTCCAGGAGGAAGGCCACGACAGCCAGGTGGCCCTCTTGGGCGGCCAAATGCAGCGGCAGGTTGCCCTCGTTGTCCTCCACGTTCACGTCCGCTCCGAACTCCAGCAAAGTCTGCAGCGTGTCGAGGAAGCCGGCACGGGCCGCGTCGTGCAGGACAGCGAAGCCGGTGCGGTCTTTCAGATCCGGGTCGGCGCCTCGCAGGAGCAACTGCCTGGCGATCTCCGGGTTCCCCAGTTTCACCACCTGAAGACAGAGGGCGAGGAAGAGAAACGCGAGGCAGTGGGCAAATGTGTTCCCTCCCCCAAGGGTTGAGTTCACACGTTACACGTGTATCCCCACGCACCGGTCGGGGCTTTCCTGCAGAGCCTTTGCTTGATTTGTCTTTGGGGAAGCCCGTGGGAAAGTTCGCGCGGGAGCCTAGAGCCCTAGGGAAACGGGATGTCAATCTCTTCGGTATCCCGGGGCAGAGAATACAAGGCTGGTGCATCTGATTGGAAGGCTTTCTGAGCCGGGATATTTTGGGATGACACCAGCAGTTGCCTTCTATTTGACATTTCTGGCCGTGACGTTTGGTCCCCAACGTTAATGGCCCCGTGACTGCAGAGAGACCCCCTTCTCCCACTCCTGCTTTTAAAAACCGAACTTAAGTCTCTTCTGAGAGATGCTACAATGGAGAAGCTATAATTGCCGAAACGGTAGTGCTGTGAAACCCACCGTACACCTCACAGAAACAAATAGTGCCAAAATAAATAAACAAATAAAATGATGGGAAATGGTATTTCCTGTTGTGCCATGATAGAAATGAAGGGGGGAAAAAACCAAGGGACAGGGTAAAAGGATGAGGTTCTTGGTTAAGGTAATAGATATATGACACTGATGGGCTTGTCCTTCTTTGATAGAAAGTGGGTCTAAAATCCAAAGGGCCCATTTCCCAATTGTATAAAGAATAGAGGACCTACATGACTATTTCTAATTAAAGATGTGTCTGATTTAAGGTGTGTAAAAAGTTAAATGTCTGTGTAGTACCTTATTAGCAAATACACTGTATATGTGAGAAACAGCTCAATTTCTTCCTTTATTTAAGCCTTTCCAGTTGCAATTGAGAACAAAATAAACAATACCCTAAACAAAAGGGCAGATAGTGGATTTAGAATATAATGTGTTTTGCAAACCTGGATGGATCTAAAATCATTCTTAGGGTAGGAAGTGCAAGCAAACATGGAAAACTACCAGTAGTGAAATGAAAGAAGTAAGGGGAAATTGAAGAATGCCACTGTTAAAAACAAAGCTGTTGTTGCTTCTGCACTTGCAAAGAACTGAAATGTAATCCTATTATGGTCACATTGTAGACTAATTGTAGATTACTCAGAGAACACATTTTAATCAATAAGACAGAGTATATATTTCTTGTGTCCTTTATCTGTGGAGTAACCAATCAAATGGATTTATGTATTTTTAAAAACTCTTAGTAAATTCAGAGGGTCTTAACTTCCAAGGAAATGTATTTGTAGTTTGCAGTTTTAGTTTCATTTGGGATTGTTATATGAATGAAAATCAATACCTCTAAGTTTATTGCTTATATTCAGTTTAAGTAGAAAGTTTTTAAAAGCTGTTGGCTTCCCTAAACATTCCCTTTCTGTGAACGTTTTGATACAGTATTATCACTAAAAGCACGTTTTCTTAAGAATCTCTAGTTTCTGGTGAAAGGAAAAAATGATACAGTAACTATAATTTTTCTTATATTTTCATAGTTAGGATTGCTCATCTCAGAGACCCTTGAACCTTTTAAATATTTTAATCCTTGTGTCTGAAAAGCCACAGCCAAATATCACATACTGAAGTTTACACCTCGGTCAAGCTTTGTTACAGGGAACAGCTAGCTTTCAAAGATGACGTGTTCTTTTGCTTTCAGTATTTTTTTTTCTTCAGTCCTGTTTTGCCTACCCATTTATAAAATAATATTGCCGTGTGCCTTTTACATTTTTTTTCTTGCTAGGAATGCTGTCTTCTGTTTTAGTATACAAAGGGAAACAGTTACAGTAAACAAAACTGGAAAATTCATAAAACAAGAGGGAGTTATGTGAGAGAACATATAAGACTCAGAATGTAGATCAGCAGTCACAAAGATGGTAGTTTACTAGGTGATAATCTCTTCCTTGGTAATCCAATCACCTGCCCTCTTGTTTACCAATTTAGAATGCAAATACAGTTAGCTTTTTGGAAACTAGTACCAGCCATTATGATAAAATGAACATGTACTCCTTAAACATTTACGATTTCACCATGTATCTCCTGTCAAATTCATAATCTGGGGTAAATACAAAACTCAGGATCAGGTTCCAAATCTGTGGAAGATAAAAAGTTATCTATAGTATACAAACTATGAGAAAAGTCTGGTTTTAAAGACAGTTTTAGATGTTTCTAAATGTTTTTTTTTCCTGGTGTGGAATTGTTTTAACAAGGGAAGGGTACAGATTGCATGCAAAGGCCTAAGCACAGCTGTTCTTAGCCAGAATTGAGAAAGGAGGCCTTCAGATAAATACCTGATTTGAAAAAAGAAGGGAAAAAGGAAAACAAGAGAGGAAAAACATTCAGAGAAGAGACAGAATAATTTAAATGAGACCATAGAAGCCAATGTGTATTTTCACTTTCTTTGGTAAGCAATATTGGCTATCAGCTTAAGTTCTATCATCCACCCATAAGATCTTTCTGGTTTACACATACTGAAAACAAGAATCAGCTTCTTCTGTTGTGTTTACTTTTATTCAGATGTGTGTGTATGTGTAGCTTGCCTCAAATTGTGATGAAGCTGCAATGAAAAGTAGGTGGTGGAAAAGACATTCCCTCCCTCTTGCTGAATAAGCAGAGGTGTATCTCTGTAAATTATGAAATGGGGGGGAGGGGGGGGGCAGAATCATTGGTTCTCATTAAACAGTAAGAAAAAGAATTGGCAACTTAGTAAGGAGGTGGAAATGGAGGTTGCACTTCCTTTTTTACCACACCAGTTCAATGGTTGGTTCCAAATATGACCTACCTGTTGTGGTGCACAGAAACCTAAAAGGGTTCGAGGCATTTATGCTCTTTGCATATCGGAAAATAATTTAGGATTACTGAGGTGAATTGGAAAAGAACACTGGTCCTATTACAGTAGGAAGGTTTCTTTCCATTTTAAACAGGAGGTTGTGTTGCTGGAGTTTTCATCCCTCACCCGCAGGGACCCCCTCTTCCAACATTTTAGAAAGTGGACCCTGTCTGTAGTTTAACCAACAAATTGCTTTTCTTTAAGGAGCCTGCTGAATATTCCGCAGTACTTCGGACTTGATCCACGGTCTTGCATCGGAAAATCCTCCCAGATTTTCACCTACCTTTTTCTTCTGTGTCTGGTTGGGCACCCCTACCTCTCCCCCCACCCACCCCCACGGAACACTTTCAGCACCGTTATCCAATGTTCTCAAAGGAAAACATCTTTCAGCGGGTGCGGGGTTTTAGTAGCTGGAAGGGCTCCAGCAGCCGCCTGTAAATCTAAACACTGGAAATGGGTGTAGACGGCGTTATATACCTACGGAAAGGAAATTCTCGCAGGGAAGCGATCCACCAATATATCAAAAAGCACCCGAAGGATGGTGAATAACAAAGCATTGGATTTTCGTGATCCAGATCGCCACATTGCTTCGCCGTATATTGCAGTTATTCAGGGGCGATAGGTTTTGTTTTTTTCGGGGGTGGGTGGGTGGGGGAAACATGCTCGCCAGAGTGTGAGAAAAAATAAACCCCAACCTCCACCTTTTAGTAGCCAGACAACACCCCGGTTCAGATACTGAAACAGATATAATCCGGATTTCAAAAATGAGGTGTTTACCGACCTGCTCGGAAACACAACCTAGCCCGGATTGTTCCTTTCCCTCCCCCTCTGCCTCCGCCACTTGCTTCCCTGACTCAGATTTTTTTTTAAAAAAAAAAAAAAGACGAGGTGTCTTACAGACAAGGTTTATCCCGAGACTAGAGAAACATTAAAACCAGGTTTTACTTAAAATACGTCACTTTAAGGAGTTGGAGCGGTGAAACTTATAAAATATGGCAACCAACTCGCTTTTTAAAAAATGCTGATTTTTTTTCCTCCCCTTTTTAAAACGGTCCTTTCCCCCGTCAAACCAGTTCACCTAGTGGCGAACGATCGCCTCTGTCCGCCCAGATACCAACCTGCAGCGCAGTCCTCCCAAATCCATTTTGTGCATTGACGTTTATATTTTCCAACAAATTAGTAACTTGCGCTAGGTCCCCTCTGGCAGCTGCGGACGCCAACTCATTCGCCAAAGGTTCGGCCATTCCTTAGGGCGAATGACGATCGCCAACGAGCAGAAAACCTGGGCTTGTATTTGATTATCTTAAGGGTTGTTTTTAACCGGGCATGGCCATCGGAAACTGACAGGAGCGGGGATGTTAATCTTCTGGAGTTAGACCTTCTTGTAGTAAATACTCGTAAAAAAGCTGCTTGCCAGAAGCCCGCCCCTTGGTTCACACGTCATACATACTGCTGCAGCTCCGCTTGAAAAGCAGATCTCTGCACCTCTAACGCGCACAACACCCGCCCCCCGCCGGACCTTGGCCGGGGCGCATAAATTGATTCAAGCCCTTCAGCGAGCAGAGCAGACACACTTGGGGTGGGGTGGGGGGAACCCCAAGCTCAGTAAGGAAGGGGAGATGGAGAAAGAGAAGAACAAGGTGGAAGCGGAGAGGTGAAAGAAGAAGAAGCGGAAGACACAACCCACCAGTTCGGTCCAGCCGAGACCTCGGGGCAGGCTTCTTTGGAAGCCGCGGGTTCCGTTCCCGATGTGGAGGGCCGGGGCTTCGCTCTTGACCCCGTGGAGTCCGTTCTTCGCCCCCCGAGTAGCAGCCTCCTGGACGGCCAACAGTAGGAGCGAAGGGGTTAATCCAGTTTCTGTAGCCGGGGGATTAACCAGCCCCGGCCAGGAGATCAGCTGCCCAACTCCGCCAGGGATGCGGTGGGACTTCGGCGCCCCCATCCCGGGGGCGACGGGCGCGCTGCAGACTCAAAGAGACGCAAAGTCGGGCTTGGTCGGGGCGGATTGGCTGAGCCCGAGCGAGAGCCGGGAAGGTCGGGCACACCAGCCCACCCGAGGCGGTCGCCGCATCTTTCGGCGCGCTGGTGGTTTCAGCGCGGTTGCGGCTGCGGGAGCATCCGCTTCAGCCCCGCCGTGTCCCCGTTGCCTCCTTCGGCAGCCGAGTTCTGTAGCGAGTGACAGGAGCCCGAAGGCGCAATCGCCAGCCTGGCTAAAAGGCGCCAAAATAACTCTCCTTTCCCCGCAGAGCGCCGGCGCCCGGTCCCGCGAGCGTCTGGAAGCTGCCGTGGCTGGATCAACCCCGTTGAATTTTTCTTCTCTTTTTTTCCTGCGGGCTGCTGCCTAGAAAGCCGGTTCCTCCTTCTCCTCCAGTCCGCGGTCTCCCCTTCCTCTCCCCTCCCCAACTTCTCCTCCGCAGCTTTTTTTGAAAAGGAAAAACATTTTGAGCGCTCTTTGACTTGAAACACCCGCCCACATTTTAACGGCAGAGATTTAAGGAGGCGCCACGGAGTTCCCGGCAAAAGCAGGAAGGCCTGGGCGGGAGGGCGAGTCCGCCTCCTCCTCCTCCTCCTCCTTCTTGCCTCTTTTCTTGCTGGGCTCTGACAATCGGTTCAGGCCGCGGAGCCGCCGTTCGGGGGCCAGTAGGCCTTGCCGTCCCTTTTCCCCACCCTGTTACCCGGCTCGGCCTGAGGAGATAAGCTGGCGCAGAGAGAGCTCTATTTGCTCTTTTTAAGGAGATCGCCCCCCCCCCCCCCCCCGCTTTTATCGGTGTCGTCCTCTGCCCCCCCCCCCCCCCCCCACGCTAAACCTTTCACTGCCACCTCCTGGGCGCCCTCTACAATTGTGTTATCGCAGAGCTCCTCGTCCTCCCTTTGATCCAAAACGAGCCGAGACGCACGGGCGACACGTTTTATGCTACTTTCTAAGTGTGGGCGCCCGTGTGAAACGCGGTTATTATTTGTTGACGCCAACTCTGCGGGCACCGCAGGAGAGTAAAGGAGGCGGGCCGAAAGTTAAGGCGACGTGTAGGGACCGCAGTGCCCTCTCGTGCATCAATGATCTCTTTCCCCGGAGTGGCATAGCTCGTTCGTCGGAGCTGCTTCTTAACTAAGCTTTCTCCGCTCCTCTGCCTACCAAGACCGGGGGATCTTGTTTGGCTGCTCCCCCCCCACCCCCCCAGCAGATTGGCAGAAAGGTTAAGTAGCCAAAAGAGAGGCTTGGCCGTAGGTTTTCCTACAGGTTTTCTTTCTCTGGATCTGGTTACTAAGGAGACAGCCCAGACAAGGTCACGCTGAAGGGTCAATGTCAGCTTGCTGCAACTGTAGCAAATGAAAAACTTTCCAACCCTGCCCCCACCCCATTGCACTTATTTTTAACGCACCTTGGTGAAAAGGGGGGAAGATGGTTGGGACATTTTAAAATATTGCTGAGGCAAAAAATCAGGAACATAAATACTATTGTGCTCGGGAACTAGTATTCTTAAAATGTTGAGGAGCAAATGAGTGAACACTAGAGTCCATGAGGAAATTCTGAACAGATTTTCCATTGAGGAAAATGTGTTGAATCAGTAAACTTAAACCATACCTAGTTTATATCATAAGAATAAATCAACAACTTAATATACTGAATTACTGTGTCCTTGGATTCATCTGTCTAAGATGCAGCATTCTTTGTTTGATAAAGTTTAATGGACCACATGAAATAGCCAATGGTTGGTCAATCAAATATGTGGCTTAATGTTTAAAATCCAAGCCAGTCAATAATGGTTTACCCAACAAATAATGGGTTAAACCATGTATAGATAAGAAAAACAGTTTATGACAAATTTGCAAGTACTTATCTATCCTATTTTTGTTTTATTTTGTTAGATGAATGAGATGGGTACATCAAAACTCAAATGCAAGTCAGGGCTAAGCAAGACTAAGTGTATTTTAATATATATATTTATTTGATTTTTATCCCACTTTCATTATTGTTTGTGAAGAACTCACGGTTGCAAACACACTTGAAACTCTTTCTTCCTCTTATTTTTCCCGCACAACAACCCTGTGAGGTGAGTTGGTCCAGAGAGACTACTAGGCCAAAGTCACCCAGATGGTTTTTCTTGCCTAAAGTGAAACTAGGATGACATGACCACAATTTGCAATTTTAGTGGCATCCTCTCCATTGACTGTTGGAAGCTAGCTGTGAAGGATGCAAATTGTGATCACATGACTGGAGGACATTGTGATGATTGTAAGTGCAAGGACCAATCATTTCAGCACTGCTGTAACTTTGAACAGTTGCTAAACAGGACAAAAATTAAGCATGGACTACCTGTATTCTGTAAATATCAGCAGTTATTTCATGAATGATAAGTTATTGTCATAGCTAATTTCACACATTGTACTATGCCAGGGCTATTAACCATTTATTAAACTGGCCTATTCAGTGGTGTGGATAAAATATCACGATGTCAAAATTATTATGTGTATAAAGATGTCAACTATGTCACAAGTTCTGATGCAAGTATATAAATAAATCATAACATGTCTGATTATGCAATCACATGCATAATCACAACTTTGTCCTCTTTGCTTATGCAATCACAACTTTGTCCTCTTTGCTTATGCTTGTGATAATGTTAGTGGCTGAAGCACAGAGATTGTCTTAAAAATATATTCATTTCTCAGTTTAGCTAATAGAACTGGCTGACAGACACAACAGTGATATTCTACTCCTGTAAGAGTGAATTCCCTGCAGTAGGTTACAGTGCCACATTTTAGTAGGATCTCTTGAATTTCCACTCATATAATGTAGTTTGCTAATATTAGAACAATTAACTGCAAAAAATGTTTGTATGGTGTCCACAGCCCCACCTGCTTTAATCAAAATTATGAAGACTGCATTGTACTATACTGTAAGCTCCACATTTTTGATCATATTATTTATGTTATATCACAACATGCATATACAAAAGACAAGGCCTGCAATGTGACAGTGCAATGCTGTTTTTGTTGGATTGACTAGTTGGACACATGCAAACAGAATAAAAGTTGGAAGGGACTTGAAGGTCTTCTAGTCCAACCAGTATAAGCAACATAGCTACCATCAGGAGCTTTGTATTTCTGATTTAGTTGCATTGGATTCCTTTTCAGTACTCATGGTCTTTGCGCTCCCAATGTGACAAACCATGGTAGAAATATGGTACACTGAATTAACTTGATTGCCTGGATTCATAATAAACTAACTCATGAACTATCAAACTGGCTAAGTTTACACATTACACAGGTTTAAATTAGTCAACCACATTTTAACACATGCAATATGCACTTAATATTGCACCAAATTTGTTAAGAATTGTGCTGATTTTTGTCACCAACTCCACTTCTGAAGCAAAATATTATACCTTTAATCAAGGTAGAATCTCAGCAGGTGGCAGCATCTTGCTGACCTCTAGACTTAGAAGTAAAGTAGGGTCAGGACTAACTAATACTTGGATCAAAGACCAGCAACAAATTCCAGGATTCTAGTCAGAGAAATTTAAAAAATATATATCCAGGAAGAAAGCAGTGACAAACTACTTCCTTGTGGTTGCCAAAAAAAATGGCATAGTTATGTCCACAATGTCATCAGGGTATAAGCTGCGTTCAGGAGAATCTTTGCTTTTTATCAGGAATGAATAAATTGATTATAGTAAATTCTTGAGCAGGGTAAAAAGAAGTAGTATTTTAGGAACAATGAGTGGTGATCACCAGTGCTTGTATTACCTGCAATCCTGTGTTTATGAATAGATCATATCTAGATAGGTATGTTAAAAGCATATAGTTTATTAACTAGAAGTCACTATTTCTTGGTCTTTTCTGGGACCAGGCAGTTTTAATATGTTTCTTTTTGATGGGGAGTGAGGTATGTTGCTATATACAGATAGACCTCAACTTACAACAATTCACTTAATGACCATTTGAAGTTACAATGGCACTGAAAAAAGTAACTTATGACCATGTTTCACACTTATAACTGTTGCAACATCCCATTGGTCACATTATTTACATTTGAATGCTTGACAACTGACTCACATTTATGACAGTTACAGTGTGATCACCTTTTGCAACCTTCTGACAAGCAAAGTCAATGGGGAAAGAAGATTTACTTAACAACGCTATCACTAATTTAACAACTGCAGTGATGCAAGAAAAACTGTAAGATGTGGCAAATCTCACTTAACAAATTTCCCAGTTAGCAACATAAATTTTGGGCTCAGTTATGGTCATAAATTGAGGACTACCTGTATTTATCTCTACCATTTTCCCTTTTCATTCCTAGTCTAGTGGGATAATCTGTTCTGATTGCAGAGGAATAGGCAAATTTCTCCAATAGCAGTTTATTAGTTATTTATAATAATAATTGTTAATTAAACAAGATGATACATACATCTTGTTGTATAATATTACTATTTTACATATTTTTCAAACTTAATGTAAATCCAATATTTTTGTAACCAGTTGCTCAAGTCTTTTCTTTGCTAGAAAGTTCAATTTATGATCACATTTGGTACTCATTGAAATAATAATGCACCTTTATTGTAATTCCATTGGCTGCTGAAATGTAGAATATATCCACATGTGAACTACATGTAATCCAGTGTCTGATTCACACATTATGTAATTAATATGCATGACCTGTAGTTATATGGCTTAAGGGATATCAGATATGCCATAGCTTTGCAATCACTGACTGTGTATGAATTCATTTTTGTTATCACATTTTTCTATACATTAGAATTTCTGTATTGTTACTGGTTACGAAAAGATTGGATTTTCTTATCTGTGGCAATACGTTTAAATGACGTGAGGTTATTAGCATTCTTTTCTGATCTTAAAAATGCTAAACAGATTTGGATTTGCTTGGCACCTAAGGAAACTAAACAGGAAAAATAATTGGGGAGGGGAAGATGGCAGTGGCAAACTCTCCTATATTGTTGTCAGGTTTACAATGTGCAACATGCGTATATAGTTTCCAAGAACTGAGACTGACTTGAGGGAGATTCTTCCTGTATAGGTAGTCCTCGACTTACAACAGTTCGTTTAGTGACTGTTAAGTTACAACATCATTGAAAAAAGTGACAGTTTTTCACGCTTATGACTATTGAAGCATCTTCATGGTCATGTGATCAGAATTTGGATGGTTGGCAACTGACTCAGTTATGATGGTTGCAGTGTTCTGGAGTCATGTGATCACCTTTTATGATCTTCTGACAATCAAAGTCAATGGAAAGCCAGATTCACTTATCAGCTGTATTACTAATTTAATAACTGTAGTGATTCACTTAACAACTGCATCAAGAAAGGTCATAAAATGGAGTAAAACTCACTTAACGAATGTTTCACTTAGCAACAGAAATGTTGGGCTCATTTTTGGTCATAAGTTGAGGACTACCTGT